GAAAATTAGCTTGCTTCTCCTAATGAGGAGAACAAAATAATTCCCTACCACTCAATTTTTTTATAACAACATGACCAAGATTTATGGTCATCCCAATGTTATTTCTTAGATATTAGACAAAATAGTGTTATTAATTAGTTGAATAACAAAGACTTTACATTCCTGTTCATCTTAATGAGATCTGTCAAAGTCTATTTGGTCTTTTCACAGAATTATCTTTTGATTTTTCAATCAAGTCTTCCCTTTGTTTGCTTTCTATCTTGTACATTGTAATCTCTTCTATTTTTGTAATAATTCTTAGTCTCCAATCTTATTTATAGTACTTTTGAATTTTTTAATACCAAGAAAAATGTATAGATTTAAAGTCATCTAAGACATTTGCTGTACCACGCTAGTCTTTTTTTTTTTTCTGGGTTACATATATTTATTGAATATTTACTCTATCCAGGGGCTTTACATGCATTTTTTCAATTAATCCACAATATACATTTAATGGAATCCTCAAAATAACTCTATTGACTTATCTTTATATTCACCTTACAGATGATATATACCAAGGCTTGGTTGTATTCTCTGAAGTTTATGTGTTGAAATCTAATTCCCAGTGCAACAGTGTTGGGAGGGGTGCCTAATGGGAGGTATTAGGTCACAGGGCTCCCCCAGTTACAAATGGGCCTTAGGCTACAAGATCAATTTCTTGCTCTATCTCACATGTAGTCTCTTGCCCTTCTGCCTTCTACCATCACTGAAGCAGCAAGAAGGCCCTCATCAGATGTGGGCCCTCATTCTTGGACTTCCAAGCCTCCAGAACTCTGAGCCAAATCAATTTTTGTTCATTATAAATTATACAGCCTCAAGTATTCTGTTGTGGCAGCACAAAACACACTAAGACAATAAAATACCCAGAGAGATATCAGTTGTCCAAGTGCACCCCTATGGTAAGTGGCAAGGTGCTGATAAGCTGTCAACGTCATCGCACCCATGGACAGGCCCCAGGAGGGAAAGGAGAGCATAGATTCTAAGACACTCAAGACAGGATTGTGAGAGACCCTGAGGAAGGACAGCATGGCTGTTTCCTGATGTGGGAGGGAGCTGTAGCCCTGGGTGGAGGGCTAGGTGCATAGGTAGAATGGCTGGATTAGAAGCCCTGGGTTATGGTCTTTTCTCTGACCTCCTTGCCTGGAAGAAGGAGAAGAGCTGCCAGCCCAGCCAGTGAAGTTGTCACAGGACTGCCCCAGAGCTGGGTTGGGGAGAGGAGCAGAGAGCAGTAGGTGCAGACTTACAGCTGTCTGGCTTTTGATGTCCATCCTTTCCTCCTTCCTCTCTCCTCTATAACCCAACTATGTGCAGGTAAAAAAATTATTGTTATTATTTTTTTGAGACATAGTCTCCCTCTGTTGCCCAGGCTAGAGAGCCGTGGTGTCATCATAGCTAACTGCAACCTCCAAATCCTGGGCTTAAACGATCCTCCTGCATCAGCCTCCTGAGTAGCTGGGACTACTGGCACACACCATGGCTGGCTAATTTTTGTCTTTGTTTCTTATACTCCTATGTCTACTGAAATTAAATGTTCCTTAATTTCTCTATTTTTTGCTGAAAAGCACAATTTCAATGGAGCATTTAAATTATCCAAGTATTTATGTCAACAAGATTACTTAAGAGATTTCTCATCAAACACATTGTAACATACATTTATATAACTATTGCCAGCCAAATAAATGAAACCCCTCAACTATGATTTCTACATATCCAGTGAGAGTCTTTGTGTTTTAATAGATCATGCTTTTGATGTCAAATCTAAGAACTCTTTGCCTAGCCCTAGATCCCAAAGAATGTTCTCCTGTATTTTTCTAAAAGTTTTACATTTTACATTTAAACCCATGATCCAATCTGAGTTCATTTTTTATGAGGTGTGAGACTTAAGCTGAGGTTTTTTTGTTTGTTTTTTGTTTTTGCCTGTGGATGATCAATTGCTCCAACAACTATTTGCATCATTGCATTGCTTTTGCACCTTTGTCAACAATCATTTGGGCATTTTTATGTGGGTCTATTCCTCCTTCTCTATTCTGTTCCATTAGTCTACAGGTCTATCGCTCTGCCAATACCACACAATCTTGATTGCTGTAGCTACATAGACTTCAAATTGGTTAGACTGATTGTTCCTGCTCTATTCTTTTTCAAAATTGTTTTAGCTATTCTAGTTACCTTGTCTTTCCACATACATTTTAAAATAATATCGTTTATATCTACAAAATAATCTTCAGAGGATTTTGACAAGAAATTTGTTAAATCTGTATATTAGTTTGGGCAGAATTGACTTCTTTACTATATTGAGTTTTCCAATCCATAAACATGGTATATCTATTTGTTTAGAGTTCTTGTTTTTTTTTTAAGACAGAGTCTCGCTTTGTTGCCCAGGCTAGAGTGAGTGCCATGGCGTCAGCCTAGCTCACAGCAACCTCAAACTCCTGGGCTCAAGCGATCCTCCTGCCTCAGCCTCCCGAGTAGCTGGGACCACAGGCACGCGCCACCATGCCCGGCTAATTTTTTCTATATATATTAGTTGCCAATTAATTTGTTTCTATTTATAGTAGAGACGGGGATCTCGCTCTTGCTCAGGTTGGTTTCGAACTCCTGAGCTCAAACAATCTGCCCGCCTCAGCCTCCCAGAGAGCTAGGATTACAGGCGTGAGCCACCGCGCCCAGCCTACATTATTATTCTTTATCCCTTCACATTTTTTATAAATATTTTTATCTTCTCAATTAAAAAGAAAGAAAATTAAGCATCAGCCCACTAGTGACAAGGCAGGAACAGCCAAGGAGGGCCTCTAAGGCCTAGCTGGTCTTGGGAAGGGAGGAGGGCCTGGACTTGTCCCATCCCCCTGGGAGCATTCTGAGGTGATCCTGATGGCAGAACTAACTCGGCGAACTGAATCTCAGTCTCCATGAGCACAAAGCAGACGCAATGGTGTTCTTGCCCCCAGTGAATCACACCTATTCTAAACAGTTCGTCAATCGAGCTTGAAGTGAGGAAATTTTCCCAGCAGCTTTGTGGGATTTAAGTGTAGAGAACTTCATAGCTTCATCCCAGATCTTCAGGTGCCTTCTTGCTTTCCATACTGATAGTTAGGGCCAGGTGCAGTAGCTCATGTCTGTGATCCTAGCACTCTGGGAGGCCCAGGCGGGAGAATCACTTGAGGTCAGGAGTTTGAGACCAGTCTGAGCAAGAGTGAGACCCTGTCTCTACCAAAAATAGAAAAAATTAGCCAGACGTGGTTGCCCACACCTGTAGTCCCAGCTATTTGGGAGGCTGAGGCAGGAGGATCACTCAAGCCCAGGAGTTTGAGGTTGCTGTGAGCTATGATGACGTCACTGCACTTAGCCCAGGGAGCAACAGAGTGAGACCTTGTCTCAGAAAAAAAAAAAAAAAGAGAGAGAGAATTGGGTCTTGTAAGAGTTGATACAGATGGTATAGGGCAGGGTCTCTCTGCAGGTAAGACATAATGGTAAGGGCAGTTGATGAGAAGGGGTAGCATAAACAGGGAAAGATTGTGATTTGTTTAGAAGCCTCTTAGCCCCTGTCTAACCCTGAGATTCTATGTTTTATGGAGTTTTAGGAATGGAGGTCCATCTAAACGCACTTCACTTATTTAATTTTTGTTAGGGCTGGCTAGACTTCTTCCTCTTCTGAGGCTGCTGGGTCTTTCACATCACATCAGCTGCAAGATTTACTGCCTCACTGCCTCCCCCAACGCCCCTATTCAACCACTCTTGGATTCCCTGGGGCCAGCTGCGTAAAAACATACGCCTCTCAGATAATGGAAATTTTATTCTAAATGCTTATTTTAGACTGAGAAATATCTATTCTCTCATGCCTATAGTGCTGATACGTCTGCTCTGATCTGTGGTTTTTGCACAGCTGAAGGGTCATGCTCTCCCTCCCTCAAGGCCTTCAAGCAGGACTGCCTGCCTCCATTTCTGATGGCTTGTCTTGTCTCCAGAGGACCTAGTGGAGGCCTGGCAGGTGTTATGATGGAAGAAGGGGGAAGCCTGTGGTCACTGTGCAAAGAGGCATGTGCCCTGCCACCAAGGATCCTCAAACAGCAAACATTCGGAGTCAGGGACAATGGTTCCCAAAAGGCCACCTGGAGCTGAAGGAAGATGCTGTAGCCTCTACATTGCCCCTATTTCAGAGTCTCCTAAGGTTTCTCAAGCTATCAGGTGCCTCCTGTCTCTAATTTCCTCAGGATCAGTGGCTTGAGCTTTGGCTATGAGCCTGAGCCCTGGGCTGACTGCTGGGTCCCCAGGAAATCGATTTTCTTTTTTCCCTCTACTCTTTCCCAAGGGAGTCTCCAGGCCTCCTACTCATATTTCTACTGAGAATGAGCAGTCTTAGTCATGCTGCACAGACAGAGAGCTGACACATGAGTCTAGACACATTTGTAGATAAATCTATGTACAAATGTGTGTACAAATTTGCTTTGGGTGGTCAGAGTCTACTAGAGATGAATCTAATATCCAACTTGGTATCATGGCAATCTTCTTCCCCCTCTGTCGTGCTACGTTTTAGTCACTAGAGATATGTAAGCCATGGAGCAGGATGGGGCAGGGCACTTGAATTCTCACCATCAATTCCCTGGTGATTTTCCACATAGCCTTCAAGCCATCTCCCACCTCCTGTCCCCCACTGCTTCACCAGTGAAATGGATGGTTGTTGCACTGACTTTTCCCAGGCCAGTTGACTATCAGACAATCACGTGCTTTGACAGGTCTCTGATCTCTGGGAGCGAATTCTTGAGCAATTGAAAGTGCTATCATGCCATCCGCAGCCCTAAGGATGTAAATGATACCGGAAACAACCTGGCCAAATCTGAATGATGAAAACCAATCACAGACTTGACAAAGAAAATGGATCTCAGATGTGAGGAGATAAGACAGTTAGATTTACTTCCTCTTTTCTAATTTGAGAGGTTTCATTTTGAAGAAAATCAGTGTTGAGGTTGTAGGAGACCTAAACTACAGCCAACATGAAGCTGGGCTCTGTCCTCGCAGCCTGGGCCCTCTACCTTTCCCCTGCTATGCTCTGGGCAGCCCAGATGTTACTGGGTAAGTAAAATGTTTGAATACTGGTGTGGGAATGGAGCTATGTCGGGCTTTGGGGAAAAGACCCAAAAGAAAGAAAAGTGGACTAACTTGGCCCTCCAGAGAAGCAGTGCTCAGGTGGGATAGGAAGGGTAGCTATAAGAGAGTTTGGTGTGCAGGACTGAATGGCTCGTTTTGAATATAAAAGTCATCAAATCTTTTCTGTCCTAAAAGTCCCATCTGATTATGATGCCCTCTCTAGCTGCATCTCAAATCTTACCTTTCATTTCTGAGACAAGTTTCTTGAAAGAACAGTTTGCACTTGCTATCTCTACTTCCTCACTTCTCACTCACTCCTCACTGCTTGCAGTCTGGCTTCCACTGGAATGGGTTTCACCTAGGGCTCAATGACCCCTGTATTGACTGGTCATTGCACACATTTTAGTTCTTATCCTGCTAGAATTCTCCGCTGCATTATGCTCAATTAATCACTTGTAATCACTTATTCTTTCTTACATTCTCTACTCCCCTGGCCTCCACGGCACCATTTCTCCTTGTACTACAAGTGCTTCTCTTGGTCCCTTGGTAGCTTCTCTTATTTTCCCCTTAAACACTAGCATTCCCTATAGTTATAGCCTTGCCTTTGTACTCATCTTTCTTTACACAACCTCTTTCATAAGCTCATTTGTCTGTATAATTTTTGCCACTACAACTATATAGAGTCCCAAATCATATCCCCAACCCTAATCATGCTTTTGAACTTCACATTCAAATACCAAGCTTCCCACAAGACATATATACCTGCACCTCTCACAAATATCTCAGCACCATATGACCAGAGGTGAACTCATCTGTTCTCCTGGCTCCTCCCTCTTTTAAGTCATCTTCCACTATTCCTGATTTCAGCTAATGGTACCAGCAACTACCCCAACATCCAGGCCTAAAACCACAGAGACAACAGACTCTTCCTTCTCCTTCATTCTCTACATCTGACTAATCATCCAGTTTGGCAAATTGTGCTTCCTCAATTGTTCTTAGAAATAGCCTCTTCCCTGAAACATCACTAATGTCCTAGGACAAGCCCTCATCATCTATGACTAGGTCCAACAATTTCCTAATTAATAATCTCCTTGTTCCAACCTTGTGTTCTTGAAATGAATTCTGCACTCTGCAGCCAGAGTCATTTCTAAAATTCAAGATTACCAGCCCAAGTTCCTTATCAGGATCCACCACAACCTGGCACCTATTAACCTCTTCAGCCTCTACTCCCACCCTCTGAGCCTTGCAATTTATGCTGTAATAAATCCCAATCAGCTTGTATTTCCACATTCACACACCAGACTCTTACCTGTCTCCAAGGCTTTGCTTATGCTATGGTTTCCACCCAAAATAGCTCCCTCCATGGCTCCCTCTTCTCCCCCATGCAAACTTCTAGGCATCCCTGAAGACTCAGCTCAATTGGCATCTTCTCCAGGAAGCTTTCCTTGAACCCTCTTTTCTGCTTCAGTTGCTACCTCTGATACCTTTTTCTTATTATTTTCCTGCTCATGCTGAAATAATATCTTCATCTACCTGTGTCTTGCATTAAACTGAATAAATTGGGTAGGGACAATGTTTTTGGATTTTGTTTTGTGGCAAGAACTGCAGACTTGGATTCAGATAGTCTGGTTTCAAGCTCCTCCTCTATTTACCAGCTCTGTGTCACTTTGGAAAGTTACTTTTTATGTCTCTGATTCAGTTTTCTCATCTGTAATAATTGTGAGAGTAGTGATACCTACCACATAAGGTTTCTTGAGTGAAAGTGCCAAGTAGGCCAACAAGATTTTACTTTTAAAAAGGGAAAAAGGAGAGGAGGCTGAGTTCAGTTGAGAGACAGTGGAGGAACTGAAAAGAGGTAGCAGAGTAGCAAAGGGAGCTGAGAGAGGATGGAGAGAAAGCACCTGGCACTGACGTGACGAGAATTAGGAAGTAGAGAGGGGCCTTGGTAAAGGACATTGTGAGTCAAAAGCACTGAGCTATTGGGCGAGGAAGAGAACAAAGCCGAGTGGGACAGAAAAGGACAAGGTGAAAAAGTGAGCACAGGAGAATGGCCTGTGGCTAGAAGATGGGCAGAGGAACTAAGGGACAAGGAACAGTCACAGAGGTGGGAGAGAAGGCACCTACCTGGCCTGGGGCAACCACAGAGGTAAGAGATGGGTTGAAGAGATGCAGTGAGAATCCACAACTCTAAGTTTCAACCTGGAGGGAAAGAATTGTTCCACAGTTCCCAGTACGAACTGGGAGTAGGAGGTCAGGGGTAGAGGAAAAGACAGAGAAAGGGCTCTGCCATTGCTAGGGAAAGTTCAAGGGCAGAAGGCATGAAGATAGAGATGGCTGAAAGTACAGACCTGCAAAGGCGAGCAAGGAAGAAGGAGAGACACAGCAAGGTAGTGAAAACTCTTGGTAACCATATTCAAGGCTGAAGAGCCAAGTGAATTTTGGGAAAATGAGAATAAGGAAGAAAGCCCCTGAGGAAGATCTGAGGACCAAGGTAGACCACATCTGCACAGTGAAGTAAAAAGAACACTGATTTTGGACTCAGACACACCCAACTTTCTTGCTCCATTACTTACTCTCTTCTTAAACCTTATGTTACTTTACTTTTCTAAGTCTGTTTCTCTAAGATTTGTAAAATGAGAATAAAGTCACATACCTGGAAAGTTTGTGAAGATTAAATGAGATACTGCATGTACTTGCTGGCAGTATCAGGCACCCAGTTAATGTTCAAATCTGATGTCTCCCTTTCCCTCCTGTCCTCTGCCTGCCTGCTCTGGGCTCACCGTTGTCTTTGGCCTCTGGTTCCTGCACCACAGCTGGATGTCATGCAGGTGAGTTTACTATTCTTTCCCCTCTCTCCCTTCCCTCTCCCCCAACCTACAGTCCATTCACTGGGAGCACCTGGACGCCAGTGAACCAAGGTCAAAACTGTCCGTCTGAGACACTCACAAGGATCTCTTGGAGAAAAAGCTTTTGGTGTCTTCCTATTCTCATGCTAAAATAATGACTTTCTCAGGAGAGGGAGGAACGCTGGTGGAGGGCGATTTTCTGTCCTCTTTCTCCAAGTTGCAGCGTCCTTTTCTGGTTCTCCCTGGGCCATGCCCTCTTCAGCTGCCAGTTTAGAGACGCTGCAGTGTGAAGGACCTGTCAGCACCAAGGAGAGCAGCTGCCACACGGATGATGAGGACTTGGCTAGCCAAAGGGAAGCTGGCTTCCAGGCCAAGGGCTACACTTTCAGTCAACCCTTCCATCTGATCGTGTCCTACGGTGAGGTCCTGGGCAGGCCTGACCAGTGCCCCCAACCCCTCCTGTCAGCCTCACAACCCACTCGGGAAGGTGCCCCCAGGAAGCTGGCCATGGGATGAGGTACTTTCTTCCCAATCTTCAGCCCACACCAACCAGCGTGCCCTTAGTCCCGGGCCCTAGAGAAGTTGTTTCACACTCCCAACCAGGGGTAAAAGGTACCTGGACCCTCAGAGAAAGCATAGGGGGGTCTGTTGTAGGCATGATTGGGGGAGCTCCCAAGGGAGGCAGTGGGTGACACTCAGTTCTTTTTCTGGGCCACAGACTGGCTGATCATCCAAGGCCCAGCCATGCCAATATTTGAAGGGGACTCCTTGGTTCTGCGCTGCCAGGCCTGGCAAGACTGGCCACTGACTCAGGTCACCTTCTACCGAGATGGCTCGGCCCTGGGTCCCCCTGGACCTAACAGAGAATTCTCAATCGCTGTGGTGCAACAGGCAGACAGCGGGCACTACCACTGCAGCGCCATCTTCAGAAGCCCTGGTCCTGGGAGCCCAGAAACAGCATCCTCTGTGGCTATCACAGTCCAAGGTGAGAACTAGAAGCAGTGTTGTCATGGCAGAAGAGGGTTGGGAGAGACAGGGACCCCCAAATTGTCTTTCTTTGGCCTGGAGGTGGAAGATCATTGAAGCCTTAAGGAATGCATTGCTGGCAAACGCCCAAGCTGAGTGAGATCTCAACATTGCCTTTTCAAGTCACTCAGCCCCACTCCAAGTCCAGCATGTTTCCTACCACCCAGGTGCATGCTTCCCTGGGTTCCATGATTGGCATTTAGACTATTGTCAGATTTGCCTATTGCTGGAGTTTTCCAGTCCTGTCTACTTAAAGAGAGAGAGAACTTGAAAGGTTCAGGTCCACCCCTCTAAGAAAGCCCATTCCTGATGGAAACATGGGAGAGGAAGTGTGACTGGGGTTCTTTGCCTGTCACGTGTCTATCTGAATATAGGATGGCTGAGCACTTCTTTCTTGCCTATCTTTCCCCCAGAACTGTTTCTAGCTCCAGTTCTCAGAGCCACACCCTCAGCTGAGCTCCAAGGGGGAGGTCCAGTGACCCTGAGCTGTCAGACAAAGCTGCCCCTGCAGAGGTCGACTGCCCGCCTCCTCTTCTCCTTCTACAAGGATGGAAGGACAGTGAGAAGCTGGGGCCTCTCCTCAGAATTCCAGATCCCCGCAGCTTCAGAAGAGCACTCTGGGTCATACTGGTGTGAGGCAGCCACTGAGGACAATCAAGTTTGGAAACAGAGCCCCCAGCTAGAGATCAAGGTGCTGGGTGAGTTAGTACACATGTGTCTGTTTGGTGTTTGTATGAAAAGGGGGGGACAGGATGAATGGGGCCAATGAGCTGGGGTTCAGTGTGGGCAGGTTAAGAAGGGACACTGAGGAGGCAGGAACAATAAGTGAGAGTCCCTAACAATGAAAGAGAGCACAGAGAACTCCTCCCTCAGACCAGGACCTGAGCCAGCTCCACACTTGCTGCCCCATAGATCTTAGCATCCCTACATCATCGCTGGGCATTTGTAGGAATATAATACCTAGAATGAGGATGAGGTGGTCTGGAGTCTATGTGCAGTTATGGGAGCCACCATTAAGAGGGCTGCACTTGACCTGCAATACTCCCAGGGGAGGTGTCCAGGGTGGTGAGGGAACTCGAACCCATGTCATATGAAAAACAATGGAAGGGGCCAGGCATGGTGGCTCGTGCCTGTAATCCTAGCATTCTGGGAGGCCAAGGCGGGAGGATTGATTGAGGTCAGGAGTTGGAGACTAGCCTGAGCAAGAGCGAGACACCGTCTCTCAAAATAGAAAAATTAGTTGGGTATGTGGTGCGTGCCTATTTTCCCAGCTACTCGGAAGGCTGAGGCAGGAGGATCACTTGAGCCCAGGAGTTTGAGGTTACAGTGTGCTATGATGATGCTTCTGCACTCTACACAGGGCGACAGAGTAAAACCCTGTCTCCCAATAATAATAATAGTAATAATAATACAAATAATGGAAGGGACTAGAGATACACATCCTGAGGAGGAGGTGACTCAGAGGGCCAGCAGAGGTGTCCTCAAAAAGCTGAAGGCTGGCACAAGGACAAGGAATTAGACTAATGTCATGTATAGTAAGGAGCTTGACCTAGACTCAGTTACCATGTCCATGCTTTGGGAAATTAGATTCTGACTTGATAAAGGGGGAACTGGCTCATAGTCACAGCTGTCTAATAGGGAGGCCTCATTGCTGAAGATTTTCAAGCAGAGGTAGGAAGGCTTTCGATTAAAATTTGGATCAGGAGGGACCCTAGAGTCCTCAAGTCCCTCTTGTCTTTGGGCCCCACAGCCACTTTCAGAGAAGAAGAAAGCTTGACCAGGGATATGAAGGTAGGCCAGAGTCAGGTTTCACGCTCGTGTACGCTTCCTGCCCCATAATCCAGGTCCCGCCAGCTCTGCTGCGTCTCCCACCTTGAATCCAGCTCCGCAGAAAGCAGCTGCTCCAGGAACTACTTCAACTACGGAGCCGCCTGGGCCGCCGCCTGGGCTGCCCACTCCTTCTCCTGAGGATCCAGGCTTCTCTTCTCCTCAGGGAGTGCCAGACCCCTACCTGCATCACCAGATGGGCATTCTTCTCAAACACATGCAGGACGTGAGAGCTCTCCTGGGCCACCTGGTCATGGAGCTGAGGGAACTGTCTGGCCACCAGAAGCCTGGGACCACAGAGGCTGCTGCCAAACAGAAGTAAACAATTCACCCACGATATTGCTCAACCACCCCAATAAATACAATTCTTTCTATTATTTTTTACTTTTCCTGGCCTGCACATATGCATAAGTAGTTTTCCAAGTTGTCCCAGTGTTTTGTTAGAATAATGGAGATAGGTGAGGCAAATAAGTTGTATAAAGTGATAACCGGAATTGAGCTACAATTGTGTATTCTCTTGTACCTTGACAACATTGAGTCTGCTCTTTCTAGACCAGGAATTTCCTTCTGTTGTCCAGACCAGAATCTGGGGATTTAACGAGAAGCAATGGAAATGGATTTAATGCAGCAATCTGAAGTGGGAATAGTTTTTCCATCCAGGGGACATTTGGCAACATCTGAAGACCTTTTTGTCATCATACAGGGGATGGAACCTGTGTGCTACTGGCATTTAGTAAGTAGAAGCCAGGGATGCTGCTAAATATCTTATAATGCATGGGACATTCCCCATGACAAAAGATTATCTGGCCCTAAATGTCAATGGTGCTGAGGTTGAGAAACCCTAGCCTAATGAAACCCTAGGGGTTGGACTCTGGAGGAGCCTTTGCCCCTTCTAATTATCGTCTCCTTCCAGCCTTCCTCCCAGCAGCAAGTCTTATTTGCATGCTAGTATTTAGTTGGTGCTATGGTCTGAATGTTTGTGTACCCCCCAAATTCATATGAAATCCTAATCCCACAGGTAATGGTATTAGAAAGTGGGTCACTGGGGTGTGATTAGATGAAGAGGGCACAGCCATTGTGATTGGGATTAGTGCTGTTTTTTATATATATATATAAAGCCCCAGTGAGCTATGAGGACATATGAGGACATATGTCCTCATATGAGGACACAGCAAGAAGGTGCCATTTGTGAACCAGAAAGCGAGACCTCACCAGACATTGAATATGCTGGCATCTTGATCTTGAACTTTCCAGCCTCCAGATCTATGAGAAATACATTTCTATTGCTTACAGGCTACTCCATTTATGCTATTTTGTTATAGAGCCTAAACAGACTAAGGCAGTTGGTCTCTGCAACATGTCTGAGTTTATAATGTGTTAAGAATACTCATAAGACATCGTCTCTATCTACAGAGGGCTTAGACTTTGGGATGGTGGAACAGTAGTACCTCTAACCATAATAACACTAGTAAAGCAAGGTATATACAAATTTCCCACAAGATCCTACTGAGCTTAGAAATATGTGATTAAATATAATATTGCCAGAACAGTAAAATATTTGTTTTAATCCCTTTGTGTCTGAAATATTTTTCCTTAATAACATATATGACTCTATATTAATTCCCCATTAATAGTTTTTTCTATGCTTGGAGTGCTACTGTACATTCTCAGCCAATGAGAGCCAGCCTGGCAGGCAGGTCAGTGAGTTAGCACAGCACTTTACAATGACCTCAGCCAATGGGTGTTCTACCATGTTATGCTGAATCACATGGCGTGATGTTCTCCACTGTGGCCTTTCTTTGTGCCATTTATTCTGTGCAGTTTTGACCCACAGCAATAGATGTGTACATGATCATTCCAGACATGCCACAAAGAAACAAAGAAATAGACTTGTGCTTATGGTAAAAGAGGAGTTTTATGGTGGTTCCTAGCACCTTCAAGAGGAAAGATCAGGAGGCGGATGGGAACTGATAGAGGTCTGTAAATATCACCGCAGCCCGAGAGGACTGATTAACAATTGTATGAATGGGAGTTGCAAGAAATGACCAGAGGTATGTCATGACTTTGGGGGATTTGAAAAAATGGAAACTCAATTGCCAATGTACCATGGTGGACATGTCTACAAAGATATGTTATAACCATCCTACATGGAGTTGATTTCAGTTAATGCTTCCATTTTCATGAATGCATCTTGTAAGCTCTTGCTAAATAGGGAATTCATTTGCAGATGGTAAAAGCTATCAGAGATCAGGGAAGAAAAAAATGGATGCAGCTTGCTGAGATGAATGTCACCTCTGTTCTCATCTGTGTGTATGTGTGCACCTCTATCATCACACTGTATTTTAATTTTTATTAAAAATTTATTATTTTATTCCAGAAATACTGGAATTCACTCTAGTGAATTGAAATACTCTTTGAGAGTATTCCTTGAACTCTTTGTTCTGCTTCATCTCATTGGTGTCTACTTTAATGAGGCATATATAAGCCCTCAGTAAATTGTATTTGATTGAATTGAGTTGGGGCAGCACAATAAGGGAAAGCATCTTGAAGAAGATGGGAATGAAGCTGGACCGTAAAGGATAAGTGCTGTGCTTGGCATCAGCAAAATCTCCTGACCCTGTCCAGGGGACTCAGCCTAAGCCAAGGACTTAGAAGCCTCAGAGGGAGGATTTCCCATCATCAGGGATGAGGATGGCAAGAGCAGAGCTGATAGAGAGAGAGAGAGACAGACAGAGAGACAGAGAGAGACAGAGAGAAAGCATTTTAGCTATCTCCTTCTGTCTAGCCGGGAGAGGTTGGGAGAGGGTGGGGAAGAGGAGTCGTTACATTGGGTCTGGTTTATGGCATGTACAGTTTAGAATTCTGTAATCGGCAGATGTCCCAATGCAGCTATGATTGATGTTGCCTCAGAAATTAACTTTAGATAGCAAGCATATCAAAGGAAAAACCGTTTTCTACTCACAACACTTCTGGCACCAAATGTGTGGGGTTTCCACACCAAGCAATTTTCGGCAGAAAATAATTGGATGTTCTACAATATGCCAATGATGACTCTAACTACCCAGAGTTAGCAAAGACCCCACAGGTTAAGGGGTCAGTCCCACAGGACTGCTACCATTTCAGAAGCCAACTGCAAGTCCCAGGCTTCTGGTACTCGGGACCAACCAGCTATAAATCAGGGCTTCCCACAAACCCGTCTTGGGTTCAGTAAGTTGCTAGAATGACTCACTGAACTCAGGAAAACAGTTTACTTAACAGCCAGTGGAAGATATGCATAAGACCAGGTATGTAGGAAAGGGCGCGGAGTTTCCATGCCCTCTCTGGGCATGCCACCCTCCCAACGTCTCCACATGTTCACTGACCCGGAAGCTCTTCGAACTCCATCATTTAGGGTTTTTATGGAGGCCTCATTACATAGGCATGATTGATTAACTCATTAGCCATTGTTGATTGACTCAAACTCCAGCCCCTCTCACCTCTAGCAGGTCAGGGTGCAGGGCTGAAAGTACCAGCCCTCTAATGACAGCATTGGTTTCTCTGGCAACCAGCCATGTTTTCCCAAGAGTCACCTCATTAGCATTAACTCAAGTATGGTTGAAGGAGTTTATTATAAATAACAAAAGATGTTCCTCCCTCCTCCATCTCTCAGGAAATTCCCAGGATATCAGTAGCTCTGTGCCAGGAACCAGAGGCAGAGACCAGATATATATTTATTATTGTATTACACACATCCATTATCTTATAAAGTTGAATACTCTACTTGCGTACCCTAGAACTCAGAATTCAATGCCTACATATATATATACCTAAGAGAGAAATTTTAGCATATGCATTTAGAAAACAGGTATAATAATGTTTATAGTGGCAATGTTTGTAAAAGCAAAAATTTGAAGTCAACTCAGATGTCCATCAGCAGAAAGTTGGATAAATTGTGCTATTTTCACATTTTTACAAAATTGAATATTATGTAACAGTAAAAATGAATGATCCATAGCTACAAAGAAGAAATATAAAAAGAAATCAGAAATATAATATTGAGTGAAAAAAGCAAGTCCCAGGAGATATCATATAGTATTATACATTGTATAGCATTATACAATGTTTAAAAACAAAAGAATATATTGTTTAGGCATTCACACATAGATATGATAAAACTTTTTTTTTTAAGGCACAGAAATGGAAATACCAATGTCAGGATACTTGTTACCTCTAAGGGGCTGACTGGGGAGGTGAAACAGAAAAGTACATAGGTAGATATAAGTTACCAATAGGCTGGGTGCGGTGGTTCACGCCTATAATCCTAGCACTCTGGGAGGCCTCGGTGGGTAGATTGCTTGAGGTCCAGAGTTCGAACCGCCTGGAGCAAGAGCGAGACCCATCTAGCTACTATAAATACAAGAAATTATTGGAAATACTAAATTATTAAGAAAAAAATAGCCGGCATGGGCTTGTGGTGTGCAATGCCTGTCGTCCCAGATACTCGGGTCCGGACTGAAGAAAAGGATTGGCCTTGAGCCAGGGGTTTGAGGTTGCGCTTGAGCATGAGGGCTGACGTGCCCACGGGCATCACTTTAGCGGCCTGGAAAAACAAGCGAGGCGCCTGTGTCTCAAAGAAAAAGATTACCATATTTTTTTTCGCTATCTTGATACGGCACTTAGGGGCTCCTTTTGAAGTAAGATTAATAAATATACATCATTCTTTAAGACTATTAACCATACATTTAACATACATTTAAGTACTTTTTCTCACTTTAAAAAAAATTTTTATTAGCCGGCATCCGGTGGTGCAGTGCCTCGTAGTCCAGCTAGCTCGGATGGCTGAGGGCAGAAGGATTGCTTGAGCCCAGGAGTTTGGGTTGCTGTGAGCTAGGCTGAGTGCACATGGCACTCACTCTAGCCTGGTAGCAACAAGGCGAGATCACATGTCTCAAAAAAATAAAATAAAAAAAAAAAAATTTTTTTTCCTTAAAATCTGTACCCATAAATATGCCGGCAATAGAAAAAAAATTTTTTTGATTTCTTACTGGTCTTAATGATGGAGGGTTCCCTATGTCACCAGGCTGTGGAGAGACAGGTGAGTACGGGCCATAGCAGCAACTACAACCTTGAACTCCTACTCTCAAGTGATCAGATACCCTGCTTCAGATTCCTGAGTAGCGGGATTACACGCCTGGGCCACCAAGCCTGGCAAAAAAAGAAAAAAAAAAAATGCAGATACACACACACACTTCTCTAAAGCATCTTTAAATCCCTTTGTGTCTTCTGTATTTACCTTCTAGAGGTAATAGAAGCCAAGTTTATTACCTACAATGCGGAGTAGTTCTTTCCCTTATTGTATCAGTATTTACTATCTTTTCCTTTACATTTCCTTTATATTAAGTAACCATACCAACCTATTAAAGGCCTGCTCCTAGCGTATTCCTAGTATTAATTGGTTTGGTGCACCCTTGTCTTTTACATTAAAGTCACTACTATATATGTCTTATACATTTCCCCCAGCATTAGCCAGATCAGATACAATAGCTAATCTTTTCAGTACTAAAGCACCTTCATTTAAGTTGACATTTATGTACAAAATACTGTGCAGGGTGTTACAAGGAAAAGAGAAGACAAATTTAACATGATCTCAGCTCTCAAAGGAGGTCACACTCTCCTGGAAAAGACAGACAAATATACCAATAATACACAGAAGTACATTTAGTTGCCTTCCCTGTCAACATCCCTAATTCCATTATATCCCTGAGGTATGGCAACCCCAGAGGTATCTTGGACACAAATGCATTATTGTGTCAGGTAAGCATAGCATGAGTGTCTTCTTTTCAAAACCCTTTTTGATGATGATGAAGAATTTGTTGGACTTTTTAGATAGATCAGCAGTTCTCGAACTTTTTGGTCTTAGGATCCCTCTACACTTTAAAAATTATCGAGGACCCTAACGACCTTATGTTTATATGAATTATATCTGTTGAAAGTTTCCATGTTAGAAATTAAAACTGAGAAACACTTAAAATATTAATTAACTGACATAATTATAAACCAATTACACACTAACATGAATAAAT